GATGGGTGTTGGTGGGTGTTTGGTTGTCTCATCATCCATTTAGGAGCATCCGACGGAAAAGGGCACTCAAAAAGGGGTGTTACGTGAGAAAAAGACAGTGTATAGTGTTCCGCCCATTGCCTTTTCTTTTCTTTTTTTCTTTTTTTAGGGGGGGGTTGGGGGAGTAAGTATTTTACAGCACTCGTACCTACATAAGATTAATGTGCACGTGGGACACATAAAAAAATTTTGGTTTGGTAAGAATCAAATATGAATTTTGTCCGAGTGGCGGTCAAAGCCTACTCTTATCGATTTTGAACAACCAAGGGATCGTACTTAACGTACGCAACTTGAACACGGAACCTCCGCGATTTTTCACATTTATCGAGAAGGCTAGGTGTTAGATCTTACCTACCATAAAATCAGCAGTAGAAAGGTTTCAGAAAGATTCTGGAGCCCAAAGGAGGGTATAAAGGAGGTAAGGGGGAGGGGGCAAAAAGTGGAGACGAAAGCAGACAACAGAACATTGTTAGAGAGCAGGAAAGAATGAGGCAGGAGAAAATTTTAGAGGAGTTCTAAATGCCTTGGTTAAAGTTCAGCTTCATTTAGTTTATATATTAAGAGTTGGTGTTGTTTTGTTTTTTGTTGTTGGGGGTTTTTTTTAGGGGGAGGGGTGACACTTGCAGCACAATTAGGTCATAACCGTGCCGAATATTACTGTTGTTACAAGAGAGTAACAAACACAAGACAAAAGGAGAAGAGATAAAGACATGTATGATTTGAAAGAAGGGCCAGACCCAACAAATTGCAGCCTCAAGGCCTCCACTAGCGGTACTGCTCTCGGTATATTTGGAAATTTGGAAATAGACTCTAAGCCGAATAGTCTCTTTGGTAACTTTGCTGAAAACAGCCCACTTAACTGAACGCGCTCATGATTATAAATAGAATTTTAACTAATGTTTTGGTAAACAAAGTTTAAGGATTTTAGTAAGGTATAAAGAAAAGAATAAAATTACTGAACAGAATGCAAAGCTGTGTAAAAAAGATATAAAAACGTTTCAGTGAACGTTATTCTATCTGTCAATTCTTTCATTGCTATGTAATTTGGAAGTCACTATCTCTTTGCTATCTCTACTCAAACATTGCCTCTGAAACCCACGGACATCCCCTCTTGGTAAAGAGGACAAAAGTGTGGCGTGTGTTTTACCACTCAAAAACCTATGAATAGCCGAGTGCTGTATTTACACATACTTTCCTTCCTTCGCCTAAGATGTAGATCTAGGTACTGTATTTGTACCTGTTCGTGGAGGGTTGGAGGTTGAACGCGCAAGCCGCTTAGCACATTTTCGGCCTTGATATTACCAAAGGCGGACCTGTAAACGATGATAGAAGTCATAGCTTGAGGTTTACAGACTCTGTCTGTTTGGGTTTCAAAATATCAGCATAGCACTGTGGAAGCTATAGTCGCGTTGTTTAGCCCCTCGATGAGAGTACAATCACAAACTACACGGGTCGTTCAAAAGGTTTTGCCTCCAAGGTCCTAATTTCTTTATTACTGAAGCTACATACAAAAGTTATGCACCAAACGAAAGCTTAGGATGTCTACTACATGACAGTACCTTTACCTTTCAACATAGTCATTGCAGATCCGCCTACGTCGAATAAGTTGTCCAATGCCGTTGGCGAAAAGTTCATGTGGTTTTCCCCTGAATCTGCGACGCTCATCTTCTTTAACTTCATCGTCATCTGCATAACGTTTTCCTTTGAGGTACTCCTTCAACTTAAGAAAAAGGTAAAAGTCAGATGGAGCAAGGTCTGCTCTGCATTGTGAGTGCGGTAAGGTCTCTTGAAATCTGAGACTTTTCATGGCATCTTGAGTTTGTCGACTCGTGTTTGGACGGGCGTTGTCGTGGTGCAAAATTGCATTTTTTCCTGGTGGAACTCGTGACAGCCGTGCTCCAAAATTCCTCAGGGTCTCAATATATCGTTAAGAGTTGCATTGATAGTGGAACCCTGTTCCAAAAATTCCATTTTAATCTGACTATCGCAGTCTCAAAACACTGTCATAAGCACTTTCTTTGCAGATGAAACAACTTTGAACCGCTTGTGCCTGTATTCTTTCTATTGTCTTCTGTTCTCTGGGTCATAATGGTGTACCCAAGTCTCGTCTCCTGTGACTATACAGCGCTTCACCTTCATCGGTATATCGAGCCAGGAGTTCATCACAAACTTGACTTCGGTTCAATTTCAGCTCGGGTGACAGCATGTGGGGAACCCACCGTGCACACACTTTCCTGTAACTCAACACATCAGGGATTATATACTGAGCACTCCCTACAGAAATCCCTAGCATTTCACTGACATCTCTTACTTTGATCCACCGGTTTGCTTAGATGATCTCATCCTCTCTCTCCTGGTGTTGAACATCACTGGCAGAGTTGAGACGATCACAACGAGCTAGGTCATGCAAATCTGTCTCTGCTGGACTGGTTTCAGCGAACTCCTTTGCCCATCTTCGAACAGCACTTACATCTACACATGCTTCACCATGGACAAAATTCATTCGCATATGAATATCGATGGGTGCAGCTCCCCCTGTAGTAAGGAACTCAATAACAGCTCTTAGCTTTAAGGGCACATTCATAGGTTTGCTGGACGCCATTTTCTCGGCGACAATGTATCCTAGCTTCCATGATGTAAACAGCAATAGCATAAAGGTGTGACATCACAGCATAATTCTGGTTGGGG